CTGGTACCGGTTTTCTGTAGCGGGGATTTTGGCGAGGAGGAGTTCGATACGCAGCATTTCCTCCACTGTTTTCATGCCACGGCGATATGTATTGGTGTTCACTTCTCTTTTCATCAGGACTAAAATCTGACACTGTAGTCACACAGAATCCAACAGCTTTTCTCAGGCTAGATCGTTTTTGAGCTGCTTCCAATAGCTTATTCAGCAAGCCGACATTTATTAGTGGCTGTACTACAGTTGTACAAAGCTTCAGTTTCAACCATTTCTCTGGCAGCGCCTTAGTGGTAATGGAGGTGCAATCTGGACTTCACATTTTAGATGATGAACCAAATTTGACACAAGTTTTAAGTCCTTTGGCAGCCTCGTAGTAATCTTCAACTTTATGTTCCTCGAACAATCAGCCTTATAAAGAGATGACTTCATTAAGAATATTCTCGTCATCCACGAGTTGTCTTCTTCTTCCTCTTTGGTGGTGACAAGGGGTTTTTCCAATTTATAGGCGAAGCAATTCTTTTACATGGGAGAAACCTATAGTCGGATCCAGTACACAATATTGGCACCATGAGGTGTTAATGATTCGCCATATTCTGTTCTGAAGAACGTTTTCATCACGAATCTCGTTGAACGATGGTCTAGTCGATTCTCGCTACTGTGTTGAGATAGCCGTGCTGACGCGTTTCTATGTGTGTTGGAGCGAGTAACAAATCGTACTAGCAGACCTAAAGTCATCTACCATTTTAAAAGGAACAGCAGTCTATAAATCTCAAATCGGGTTCAGTCTTTGTGTATACGTATGTATGTATATGTATGTGTATAAAAAATTAAGGAATAAAGCTCTCGCCGTTGATCAATCCCTTTAGGGATGCACCATGCATTCGACTTCATTAAGCATCGTTCGGAGGTGATTGAATGCATATGTGGCCTTTACAATGACTCACGGTGGCCTACTGATGTATTGAGCCAGTGTTGCAATCATCCCACACAAATCTGGTATCTATTTTTCCCCAGAAGGATGGAAGGCTGAGTGGGGGCCATGGGAGCGAGGATCGACCCCACATATGTTGCAGGGCACCTCCCACCACTGAGCCACACGCACCCCTATGTATGCAGATGTATATATATTCAATATTTCAACAATTCAGGATATTTGTGTATACGCATATAAATATATATATAATAGTGGCAGTGGCAGTTGATTCCGCTCTCCGGACTTACCGTGGTTCCATCCCACCGGGGTCGACAAATTGGTACTAGACCTTCCTGCGAGGTAGCAGCAGTGATTTGACACTCCAGTAAGCCACCTCAGGTCATCTGTGTGATCAAATCACCTCTAGCGATGAAGTCGAATTTATGACGCATCTCTTAGGAAATGATTAACGCCGAGAGCTCTATCCACGTATCCTTCATATATGGCCTTAGATTGTGTCTTCCGTAGCCCATTTTGAATTCGATTTCTTTTTTGAATGCATCATTCACGAAGGTCTTCAGAAATGCGTGTCGATTCGCCGGCTGGTCAAGCACTTTTCTTCCTTTCTAGACTTCATCGAATGCTGGTCGACCTAATTCGCTCTGGAATTATGGGATCACTGTGCTGTTCACAGGCTTTCGTGACTGCGAGACAACATCTTTTGTAGATTTAGGGTGCGGGCGGGTTTCATAAGAGTCTGGCCGAAGTCACAGTTTGGCCACAAACCCTAAAGGGTCCAGACCTTGCTTTACCGGCACAAAATCGAATAATCACGTTGGACATATTGAACGACATTACTTTATTTGTGAAAAACCGCGCCGATAAATGTAAATAGTGTGTGTAGGTGTGTACATTTACATGTGTTTTGCATATCACTGCGCTACATGTCGTTCCAGTGATCACTGAATGAATGACCCAAACGGGCACCTGTAGATTTCCAATCGTCCTTCACACGTGCAAGAGTACTTAGTTCTGCTTAGTAGGCCCTGCTTATTCTAGAAATTCACTGAACGTTATACCATTCTTCTAGGATTTTCTTGAAAAACTCTGACCAGCGAGTCGGTGATCTTACTGCTGCGCTTTTGACATTCCGAGGAATTCGGTCACTAACGGATCTCATCCATCGGTTCTTATTCATACCTTTACAAGTTCAGCTCTCCTTATCTTCAAAAAATTGGGATTAGAACAGCGTCTTTGACTTTTGACCGCTGACCTAGGTCGGAGCTTCGAATCGCTTTTCTCATTTGCGTGATATGGGATACTCCTAGCATCGTCCTTTAGACTGCGCGTTCAACAACGCTCAGTGTTCTTTCGTCCTGCACACGCAGCGACCAGGTTTCCACCCCATCCTTCCAGGTAGATGGAATCGTGAGGCTGAAAAACTGAGCACACAGTCGCGCGTTCTTAGTTCTTTTAACTATAATCACGTTGCTCTTAAAGCTCTCCATGTGGCTTCCCTAGTACTAAACTCTAGCGCTAATTCGATCATTATATTAACTTCCTGATTCAGACACACATACTTCGATTGCATCTAAATTTTTTCCGAGATTTTTCGAGAGCATTTCTTGAGATCTATTGTAAACCCAATCTTTCCAACAACGTTGATTAAGATCGGCTAATTTACGCTGGCTATTGGTTGCTGTTACAAAAACGACTTCGTCATCAAAGCAAGGAAGCTTTAATTGTCGACCGTTGATTTTCACTTCCATGTTTTCCTTCTCCAATTTTCTCACGCGGTGTTTGTGAATAAAATTGATGAGATATTATCGCCTTGTCGAACCTCTCTATTTATTCGCACACAGCTCGCAGATAATCTTGGTGAAGTAAATAGGGAAGCTCTGGGCTCCATAGCTTCTATGAGCGCCTGATCTTCAACCAAGTAGACTATTTCCAAGCCGATAAAGGTATGCCATAGCGTTTCTAGTGCTCTCGTGATGGTTATGTGATCACATGGATGTGGTCAGTTGTGACATTTCCATTTCAAAATCCGTTTGCTCCCATTGTTGCCTTCCGTTCGGTGTTCTTTAAATACTTTTGAGGATCACACAAGTGAAGAGTTTATACATGACAGATAAAAAGCAGATTAGGCGATGGTTGTCGATGTCATGTAGGGAGCTCCCATACTGGGAGCTCGGCAAGCAACGCGTGTACATCGAAGCCAAATGCAGTGACCATGCAAGTATTCTTCCTCTACAGGATCTAGCTCATTGGTAATGGATCGCCGGTTAGTCGCGAGCTATGTCGTGGGTCATATTTGGCAGATAGGGGATTAAACGCGGACTAGAAGTAATCTTATGCTTCCCTAAGACTCAATTGGATCCAAGAGCTCTCTCCATCTGCTACGCTCATTTTGCACTTACCTTCTGAGTTAGAGAAGACGTATTTATGAATACGTGTACGGGTATGCTCTTATTTATGCAAGTTGTATTTTACAAATCATTTCGGCCAAATTCCGCAATGGAGTCACTCATAACTGGGAAACACATAAGTGGTGGTTAGAAATCTTCTCCAACAATTAAACCCACGTCTACTCTAGAGGAGACGGGTAAGCTGCCGGTAAGTATATCCTCCCTCACGTCGCGACCTCGAAAAACTGGGCCTAGGTATCGAAGGCGTAATACATTTTTTTAACATTTCTTTGTAAAATTCTCAATAATCTAAGATATCCTCTTCAAGGAATAGTTCTGCTTCAGCGCGACCCACATAAAACCAAATAGAGGAATTGCATTCCTCCTGGGAAAAGCATTCTTCCTCTATGTTGTTGTAAGAATTTTATCACTACAAGATGATTTCTGTAAGGCTTGGCGCTGCGTACACACAAGTGCCACGTGTCGGCACACGTAATAAAGTCACTGTCTGCTGAAGACATAATAATATATACATAATATACTAATATATATATATTAGCGATCCAGTCTAGTGCGACGAGTGCTGTTATCATCAAAAGGAGAGATGCTCCTGTCCATTCCATTTCGTCGTAAATTCGATAAATAAGGAGATGATTAACCATTTGCACGCCTTCCATCTTTATGAACCTCCTAATTTTCTGTTCTGCCTTTTCGCCTCCGTTTTGAACAAATCTGCTCCTTGATTTCCATCTACAACGCTAGTGTTTTCTCTTGAACACAATTCCCACAATGGACAGGATGTAATCGCACTTTTCGAAGTTAAACCACCTTATCTCAACTCATCTAAAAGCTTACTAGTCGAAACAAGAACGAAGTAATTCTAGTGATTATTTCTTAAAAAACAAGCAATAATGTTTTATCAAGAATAAACCCTAATTTTGTGGAGCTTACAGAAACTCGCAAGGTTTATATTCCCAACATGAAATCATTTTAACAAACTACATTTGATTCAGCGAGAGACAAAGTATTTTAAGAAATCCCTAATCTAAATCCTATAGGAAAAATCAACTCTTCCGTCTATCGCTTGTTGCATATGAATTCTTCTACAAAGCTCGTTCTAATCTTAATGAATGACACTTATTGGAAACTGTATAGCTTCCCATACTCCCTTCCAAAAATGATTGACATGACCTCGTCGTCAGAAATTTCCTATTTAACCGATTCATGGTGTCGAAATATGACAATCATCTCAGAGATAACATCAATGTGCAAGTTAGGATGCAACTATGAATTCGAAGTTGTTAGGCGGTGCTCCTTTTCCAATCGCTTTTTTGTAATTTATAGGCAGCATTCGGATATCAACCGGATTTCGTGACTCCAAAGAATATTCTTTTCCTTGCTATACTCCGCAAACAGTGTTGGACCTGATGTATTTCTGCAGAACTGACATAACAATTTATACATACATTGCCCATGCTCGTTCAATTATTTACTTTTCTTTCAGATATGTCCACATTGCGATTGCATTCTTAAGGACAAATATATAATCAAGCCTCCTTATTTGAGAACTTAAGGTGGTAATATTAGTTCATAGTGATTCACATATTCGAGTAACTATAACAATGCCAAAAAAAATACCCAAGCATTAAAAATGGGCGAGGTTAGTCCATAATCCCGTCTTAAATTCATACACTAGTGATATCTCCTTCGTCGAGACTGTCATTGTCATTCTCTTCGTCCGTTTCACTTTCTAAAGGGTTTCTATAGAAATGAAGTGAACTTCCACATTGTCTTGCTGCTTCTGCCACTGTTTGCTTTCCTACAGGCACTGAATCGTTGGTGGATAAGATATCTGTCGTATCTTCTATAAAAATAGAAATCAAAATTATCACACTGTTAACTACCTAATAACTCCTCACTGCACTTTATAGTATTATAGAAAAAAATAGACGCCATAGACAAATGGCAACGACGACTAGAGTGGGTTCATTTACATGGTCTTAACAGTCGAAGCTACTATTCTCACGTATAATTTGTGACTTACACTCGCCAGTACTATGGCGGACAACACGTGGGTTGCTCAAATTTTGCTATCTAAATTGAACGTATAGCGCCGGTTTCTTGGATATTTGGATTGCCCGTCTTCACGGAGTGCGGACCCCACCTCAATTTTCATTCGTTTCTTTCTCGTGCAGTCGCCGTCCATGGTGGCGATTTCTTCGAACACAGAATGTCCACAGGGCTCATTCCGTAATCCTGAAATCTGTCCCATCTGCAGATGCAAATGGTTGAAGTTAGCCGCGAACACGTCAGCTTCCCATGTTGGTGGTCGCCCAAAAGAACGTTTGCATTCTTTTAAAGACCAATCTATAGTTCTTTCTCGTCTAGTCCAGGTCTTCTCTTTTTATTAAATATATGACTGGCACATCCATGTTTGTACATTTGCTCAAATTCCGAAAATGGGATAGGTCCCGAAAATCTGGGCATCGCATTATGGCTAGAAGGCGTACGCGCTGGTTCAACATCGGAATACATCGTTCTAAACAGCACTCACCAACTTAGGCCTTTCTGCATAACAGATGGCTAAAAGAAACGCTGAACCGAAAACTTGAGGAAGAAGTTATATGCCCATGAGTCGAGCCCCACCAGGTCGAGCTTCTGTGACAACTCCAAACGTGGCCCATTCTGCACTATAACTTCTGTGTAATTCCTCCTTCATGTTGTCCTCACGTTCATTGCCACCCAAAGTATAGAGACGAAATGATCTTCTATAATCAGAAAACCACTCGATTTGTTCACCTCTCACCAGCAGTTTTCCATAAACGTGGTTTCCTTCGATTCGTCAGCATTCCAATCCTTTTCCCGCCCAGCTTAATTCATTGAGCAACATCTCTGCACATTGCTATTCCACGATGAAATGACGATGTCGCCAAAAAAAATTATAAAAATTTGTGAAAATTTACAAATAATCCGTGTGTCCTATTGTTTCAGTCGAGCGACTTCATTATCCGCTGCACTGATTCGGTGAACGGCTTTGTCAAAACGATGCTGCCTTTTCGGAAACCCTTTTCCTGTAGGTACGGTAAGAAGCCTAGAGAAAATCATTTTTTTCGTAGTACATTTGTGATAACAATCGCCTAGTGTTCCTATATAAGATGGGTCTACTCGTTTATGGACGAGTGCTGATAGAATTGCATTTGTTTCGACCGTGTCGAACGCTTTTTTCGTGGCCCATAAAAGTCAGCACAAGGGATGATGGTACTCCCAAAAAATTTCCATGACACGTGATACGATTTGAGTGTGGTTCAGGCAGCAAAACCCCTACCTGAATCTTGCTTGCTCGACCGGTTGTACTTCATTAAACGTCACTGGCATACGCAAAAAGACAATATTGGTAAACGGCACGTAGGAAACACCAAACAACCATTTGATATCATACTAACAAAGAGCTCTTGGGTCACTCTTCTTTGCGAGGATGAGTGCGTGAGTGCGCAAGGAATGGGATGCTCTCCTTTTGAAGCTAAAATATCATACCAAAAGGTTCTGATTTTCATCTTCTTCAGATCAGCTTTTTCCTGAACTACTTTCCGATAGCTTTTTCTCCCTTTACCAACGAAAACTCCTTTCGAACAAGTCTTTAGCTGTGATGGAGACGTGATCCGAATTTCTTCCTTAGCGATCTGAGGGGAGTTCGGCACAAATTGAACTTTTGCGACAAACTCTTTTAATCATGTTAAGAAAGGAGAACGGTCGTGTTGTCCAGATCTTGCCCTTTTCGTCTTGGGCGATAGCAGGAATTCTTGTTCAGCATACGGCCGAATCAGATCGTGTTTCGAGAAGCACCATTTTCTGCTTGTGCGGACAGAAATAATCATCGCATTAGTTGTGCCGTTAGGCCGTGTTTAGCGGTTATTTTCTTGTTTCTCGAAAAATGAATCCCCTTGTGTGTATTGTGGACAAAAGCTCTGTAAGACAGTTTGAACATCTCATTTAGGTCCTCTGCTTCAAGTATCTCAATTCTGGATTATTTTCACTGGTCTTCTCGCTTTTATATGTCCGGCAAATTATTTATAGCAAGAAATCTCTTTGCTGATCACTTCCTTCAACTGATTATTTAAAAATAGCTCCCGGCATTGACCAAACTCTGAGGGATGAGCCATGCATTCGATTTCACTAAGCATTGGCCTTTACAATAACTCGCAGTTGCCTATGTATCGAGCCAGTGCTGTTATCCTCCCGGACAAGTTTGGCACTAGTTTTCCAATCCTGGAGGAATGAAGGGCTTGATGAGCCTGTGGCACGGGGATGGATCCCATGTGTATTGCAGGGCTCCTCCCACCATTACGCTACACGCGCGCCCTCAGCTGTTTATTGAGCCCTATAATTTGCTTTCATTGGCTGCAGAAGTTAATGACTAATGTACATGATGGTGATTTTCTACTTGACACTTCATGGCAAGATTTTCCCTCTACAAATAACGAGGATCTCACCATTCAATTGGATATGTCGGTACCCTATGGTTTTTTGTCCCTTGCGGTCTGATCATACGGAAATCGATTCAGCCAGCGGCTTCAAGAAGAGCGTATTGTTCAGTTTATGAGGAATTTATTCTCCTAGCATCAGATGCAAAAAAAGAAGAAGTCTCCATAACGTGTCGTAGAAGTGTTTGTGTGATCCATTTCAAATAACGTATAATGACAAAGAGATCTGAGCGTTTCTTACCAGAGAGCTCAGTTGCCAACACCGCAAGCAGCAGCGCTCAGTGTAAGAAATGTTGAAGGTAGTTCATTGCTAGTTGAGCTATTTATCTCTCATCGGAGCACAGCCGCAAAACCAGCCCACCAAGTTCGTGATTACTCTTATGAAGTCCTTACCACATTGGAAAGCCCTGGTGGAATAAACCCTTTGCTGTCCATCGTAAATAACACCCAAGAACATCTACCTGTCACAACAAAGCAATAAAGCATTGGAGAAATTTCTCCGCCTACAAAAATAAATTCGTGCTACGTCGACTACCTGAATATTTTAGGGTGACAAAATTTGCCTAAGATGGCACTTCTGTTCAGTGTGTCGTAGATAACAATCTGGATTGAAAATTACAGATGTCAAGGAGGTGAAATGGATGAAGATTTTAACGAAACGCTTGTAACACAATGAGAAATGTATGTTTCTTCTTCTAAAAAACATTGCGACATAAAGCTGAGGGCGGGAATGATCTGAAGAGCACAAAACAGCATTGAACCCAGTTAAGGCAGAGTTAATTTAGAGTAGACACTGGCTAAGAGAAAAGCGAAGCAAGAGCCTCGGTCGGTGCGATGGATAGCACGTGAGCCACGGTTGCGGTAATTCCGGGTCTGTGGCCCACCTGAAGTTCCGAGTTTCACTCGTATCTCAGCATACTTGTGGTTCTCTTTAAAACAATACGGTGTCATGCAAAAAGAACAGGCAGTAAATAAAAAGTTCAACGTTGTGACAGGAGAACTACTATGCCACATATCTTTAACAACTTACCTACTATATTGCTGTCTAGCTTGTTAGGACTTTTGCCCAATCGACAACCGGGATCAGAACAATTCGCTGCACTTTTGCATTTCGGCTGGAGGAAGGAATGAACTCCTTAAAGGCGAATATTATGAAGTAGTATGTGCAAAAACGAGATTTTAATACCGAATGGTGGAGAAGTGTGGTCATGATCACCAGCCATAAGTAGTAGTTGTCTTTGCACAGACAATTCCCGAAGGTGTCGCTGACTTTGTCGAACACTCACATATTCGTTTAACTGTTCTCTTAACAGTTCCATAATACATGTCTTTTTTTAAAGTTTACAAAAAACAATAAGAATAAAAAGGGAAGGAACTCTCACTTTGGCGTTTTATAATCCCGCCATTGTTGACCCTCTCTTCTGCCGAAGAAAATGAGACTCAAAACAAGGACGAGAACAATACAAAAAACAGCGATAAGCGGGAAAACCAAGACGCTTTCCCAGAACGTGTATCCTTCGCCGATGGAACCCACTTCTCTAAGAGGTTGTGCGGGAGTGGCGTTAACCTGTGAAAGAAAGCATTTCTGTGCAGCAGTAATGAAAAGCATAGAATTAAAAATCGAAAAATCGACACAGAAACCTGTCCGAACTCCACAATCTTTTCAGTGTTATACAGAGTTCTTCTTGATTCTCCATCAATATAGTTATGCAGCATGGTTAGGTTCCTCTGAAAACAAGGACATATATGCGAAAGAAAACTACATACTTACGATATTAAACAAAGTAATAACATACGATTCTAGTGCGACACCAGTCCACATCAAATGTTGGGGCGAAATATTTGTTAAGGACGACCAAATTCTGTTTTTGGCAGAAAAACGGACTCATACGCAAATTGCGAATAAGTTTGTGTACATTGGGATAAAATCCTCGCTGTGAACCGATGGAAATCAGGCTACTAAATTAAATATTTTCATAGAATTTCTTAAAAGAGATATTAAATATAAATGAGATCAATATTATCCTATACTAGTCGTTTACAACAACTCATCTATCTATCTATCACCATACACCTCATTCGATTCCAGGAAGCAACTGTCTAGGAAAACTTTCTTAATGCTTTCTCTATTATTCATTTTATCGTTTACTTATTATATGACCCATCGTCATATCTACTGTGCGGATCATAGTGCTTCTGGCGCTCCATTCGCCTTCCTCGCCTTCATCGACCACAGTGGTCGTCGAAAACTGCGCTTGTTGTTTCGGCTGCTGCTCTAGGATTTCATCTTCTTTTATGAATTTCGTAGAGTGGTGGTCGAGGAATCTCTTTGAAATCTTGGAGATAACCAGTATAGGGCGTTCTTAAATGGACTGACGCGACGAGAGAGTTGAGGAAGGGCTCGAACCGGCGCCCTTGCTTCCTGATCGACGGTTCACTAAGAGCTGCAGTAACCACTCACCAACTCCCTTACCCCACTATCATTATTTATTTATACAGTTTGGTATTCCATGGATAGATATCGTTGTGTTCATAGAAGTGATTGCGATAATATATATGCCACTATACAATACATAATAAAAGAATAAAGCTCTCGGAGTTGATCAATCCCTGAGGGATAAGCCATACATTGGCCTTCACTAAGCATCGTTAGAAATGACTAAATGCATACCTTAACTATAAAATCATTTGCGGTATCCTACAGATTTATGCACTACTATCCTACCAGACATGCCTGGTACCAGTTTACTGACCCCGGAGGGTGGACTTGGCGAGTCTGAGGCGTGGGATCGAGTCCATTTGCATTGCAGGGCACCTTTAACCACTGAGCTACACCCACCCTTTTTTACAAGACATATATTATATATCACATTGTCTTTAAACTTTATATATGTGGAATATATATGCATAGATATATATAAGCACTATATGCATGTATATATACCGCAAAAATAACTATGTACCAGAATTGAACAGCAGTCTTTTTCAAATAACCTAACCCGCTTTTCTGAATCCGAAAAAGATGCTCCTTCCCTTGTGGGACCCGAAACTCCGGTTCAATGTTGTAGATATAAGGATTTACGTCTTTTCCGCGAAATGCCTCTCTCAACGATTTTTCTAGCCGACCTAAAATGATGCATTTATCGGACGCAGCAAAGCTTAGTGTAAAGCATTGAACCATTAAATGCACCTATAGTCCCATCTCGATTAGAAAGGATAGTTTCGACTTCGACGTTCTTCACAAAGATATCAATCAGCTGTTGTGTTGTCCGTGTATATCGTTCTAGACATATAAATTTTCATTGCCATAATTATGGGCAGTAACATAATAATCAACAACTTGTCCGAATTTTCACCAACAACAGACTACTTCATTGTAGTTCGCTCCTTACTATACAATCTCCATCAACTAGTTTCGTACATATTATGGCTTTAGTGACGGCCTACGAAACGCAATGTGTACCAGAAATATGTCAACACTCACGCTACAACGACCAATTTTGCTTGATGGCCGAACAGAATGACTCCTGATTTCAATTCGTTACAATACTTCTGGCTTCTCGAAATTAGACAGCAATATCTCGATAGCCAAACGATTCGAAGAACAGGAATAATAAGGAATTATAAAAGAGACTCTGTTCTACCGTTCTATGGCATGAATTGTTTGTACGCTACCAACCATTACATATTACTTTGACTTATCATACAAACCCATTGCTGTAAGTACTTGGAAGCGTCTACCAGCTTAAGTTGAGCACACTTTCATATTTTTACACCCACTGATTTCACACAATAACAGTGATTCCTTACCAATAAAATAACAGCCAAATGGCAGTAAAATTATCAGTCAATGAACTCGTTTAAGAAAAGGATCTTGCATATTGCTAAGTTCAAAATCAGTTCTTCTCAGCAGACGCTCGCCACGACATCTGTGTTTGATAAGCTATGTATTGTTTTCGAGAAATGTGGGAAAATGGTTCTATAGGCCAAAATAAACCACCAGAATGACAACGATGTCTACAGAAGTTGCTGAAGCCATGAGGCGTCTCTACAAATAACTCTTACTGAGGTCGCGCCACTGAGTAAGTGTTGAGGTGCACTGACAACATTATTAAATCATATTGCTACTGATAAAATTGCTTACCATCTTCGGACATAGATATAACAATGTATTGCTGTTTAATTTGATACGTATCAAGACGTTTCGCGAACACGTGCACTGTGACTTGTCGCGCCGCGGTCACCGGTGTTCCTAAATTTAACACGACTGGCAAGTCCTAAAATAACCGTTAAGATGAGTAAACTTTCAAATCTTTTCAACTGTCTTATAATTTTTAAACATGTCTTAAAAAAAGGCTAAAAAGTGCAGCAAAACGAAACAAGTTGCCGAAGTGGCTGTATGTATTGTTAAAACCATCTCGCTTGGGACGAAACAAGCCTTGCGTCCTCAAATCCGAAAGATCCGAGAGGACTTCGTTTTCACCGAGAAAAGAAATCATTTTTAGTGAAAAGAAACACAAATTAGGTTGTGAACACCAGCATGTCAAGTAAGCAAGCAAATTTGAGAATCCAGGCATGAATGCTGTGCAGTATTGACAGAGTACAACTTTGAACATATATAAGTTGTTCAGTGTTAAATCTCGGCTTCCTACGCCGTTTACTTAATAAATTGATGATATCTTGACGTATAATGACGAACAACGCACAAAACGTATGATGCCAATGACCGTGTTTCGACTAGAAAAACTAAGCATTAGACAGCACTCATATGTGAGTACTGCTTAAGCATAAGCAGAGTAGCAAAGAAAGTGAGGGTTAGCAAAGATATTGCGGCCGCACTCAATTTGAAAGAACCACACGTTTGTAGAAGACCCACAATCTCAAAAATTAGCAAGAAGAATGATTATGTCATAAGAACAATGAAAATCGCAAGGATGCTAAAGATTTCTTCCTTTCTTTTTGTGATAGAGAACGTAAATCTTTAAAATACTTCTTGACTTACTATGCCCCATAGATATTTGTTCCACCATTGTAGGTTATGATTTACCTATTCAAAAAGCCTGTAGAAAAACGTCTTTAATTGTTCAGTAACCAGCCAAGAAACACTTGCAGTCCCACATGAGTTGGTTTCCACCCATGCGTTACGAAAACATTGGCCGATACCAATTTTGAAGCAACATTTCTCAATCCACAGCGCACTCCGTTAATTAATATTAGTTAGAATAAAGTCGTTAGAATCTGCAGATTATTGCTAATAAGATATATGTTTCCCCACTTTCCTAGGACGAAATTCTGATCTCATGAAGCGCAGAAATAGTAGGTGTTTTTTCGTCAAGGCACCTATTTGAAGGACAAAAGCAAATCAACAGGAGGAATTTCGCCTAGCAGAATGCAGTACCGTCTTCAAGTGTACCGCTGATATTTCCTTTTCCTAGACTTGAGTATGAAATTTTAAATACTTAAACCTTATCCTCAAATTTAGGAAATCTGAGCTCTAAACAATTTCAAAATATAATAACAATTTGACAAATCACATTTCCTTTTAAATAGATAGAGCAAAATATCCTATACAAGTTAATCAGATTTAACCTCTTCAGAGACTAAGTTATAAAGTAAGAAAACCCAATTATGTTCGCATACCAATGAGACATATGTCACTCATGCCGGGATTAATTGCCTAGATTACTTTCTTAACGGTAACCCAGCACGACCTTAACTTAAGGGCTGATCCTGGTCCAGAAGGATTTTCTTCCTCTGGAGTCTTGTGGCAGCCGCACATATGCTTTCCGATGACAATATCTTCGAATCTGGTGGACTGATGAGAAATTTCCACCCTGTCACTAGGTTGCTACAAGATGGTTGTGATTCCTGCCATTAGCTCACGCTTAGCTCGGCCCTGGATCAAATTGTTATATTCACCCTCAGCTCAGAAGAACGCTGAGAATGAGTTCGTTTTCAAATGAATCCTTACTGTCACAAACCGATCCAAGTATAGGAATCTAATAGATGGTATCAAAAGACATGAATCCGGCTAAATCACTGCCCTCTATTCCTTCACCATCCCCAGCAGCTTTTTTGCTTTCTGGTACAACAAGTTCCATATTCTCAGATTATTTTACTGAGAGAAGTTTCGTCATCATCACTAGATTTAAATCGAGTATGGATTGCTCAGAAAGGTCAGAAAATTTTCGAGAAAAATTATGTGAAAAAGGTCTTCAATTTAACCACAGATTATCACAGAAAATAAGACTAAACCTGTCCTCATAAATGATCACGGCACTGGAGGGCGACTAAAGCTATGTGGATAGTAGAGAAATAATTCAATAGGACAGACTTGATGCAATAACTCTAATGTAATAATAGTGACGCAGGGAATGTCGTATTGAAATAAAGAAAATGATTTCAGCATACCAACAAGATAAGCAATCGCTTTGTATCGAGATGGAACGATGTGAAGCCATGAGGGAAGAGCGGGACGATTCTTCAATGTGGCCGACCATGTCACATCCACTGAAGATCGCATCTCTTTAGCACCAAACGTTTATGACCATTTTCAGAACTAATTCACACCGTGATGGAAATTCCGAAAAGAAAATGAAAAAAAATAACTGGAAAAAAGCATAAGAAAGACTGGTATTCACCTGCAGTACGAAAGAATGACGCGGAATGCAACGTATACACAAACAGGTGGCCCTTTTTAGCATCTGACCTACGTGTTTCAATCATGAAACTCCCAGCAACGACTGTCGAAAGAATGAACACAACGATCTGCATGATTTTAGCTCAGGTCAGAGACTTCTCGCGCCCAGAACCCACTTGTGCAACGAAACTTTACACTGCTTAGAGCAGCTGACAAACGTTTTAAAATCGAAGCCATATGTACCTTCTAGGGTACCTCTTATTGTGGTAAAATATCACTTCATAGAACAAATAGCATTCCTAACGATCGTAAATTTTTAGTAAGAAAAGCCTAAAAATATGAAGTAGCATTTAAAAAGACTAAGATTACTCACCACGAAAAAAATCCTTGTTAAGTGACAAGCTCGTACAAAGTGAAAAGCGGTTTTAAATTGGCAATACCGGTATTTTCCAGAGACGCATTGATTTGGATCACATTTTGAAAAGACAGCTGCTTTCGGCAAATTTGTTGAACGTCAGAGTCGCGCTAAACACCAAGATGAAGCACAGTTGACCAACGACTGTTTGGCCTTAAATATCAATATGAAGCGATATATGAAATGCTGTGATAAGATTAAAGGTCTAATTTTGCAAGCAATGAAGTTTCATGGATGAGACCCACGAAATGAGAAGAAACATAGGTGTTATATGCAGTTCGCATGAAAATGAAACAACAACAAGCCCGAAGTGAAATCTCTGGAACTAACACCTCTTCCCACAACATCACGATCGTTGTCGAGCTCTTCAGGGCAATCAGCACTCTACGTTATAAATTAGATGGTTCGTGAAAAGTTCATAATCGATGGCGGGATCGAGCGGAGTGAAATGCTAAAAGATTCAAGTAATCATTCGGCAAATGCACTTTCAGACAGAGACAGAAAGAATCGTTCTTGATCGTCGACCGCTCATCCAACTTTCCCAGTTTTCATAGGGATAATCCTTCTTGCTGCTGAAGAAATTGTACCATCTGATGCAGAACGACACAGTGTTTGCAACAAATCAAATGAAGGGAAGCCTTTAAAATCAGAACTCTGATTTCGAAAACATGAAGAAAATGCCGATGACTTATCGTATGACGGTGTAAGAGGTAAGGATCTTCTCCATGTATGGAACCTCGAGCCTGTTAATCGCTGAACTACAAAGCCTTCTTTCCCTCCTGAGTGGGCAAATTGGTACGACTTATCTTGGAGGATAGCACCACTGCCTCGATACATCGGTAGGCCACCGCGGGTGATTGCGAAGGCCAGATATGCATTCAATCACCTCCAAACGATGCTTAGTGAAACCGAATGCATCGCGCATCCCACAGAGATTGATCAACGCCGAGGGCTTTATCTAGCTTGTTTATATATACATATATATGTATATATACATATATATATACATTTTATATATATATATATATATATATATATATATATATATATATATAGCCCTAAGGTTCATGTGTAATCGTAAGAACGGGTCTCAGTGTCTGTACTCTAAGCTGACGTGCAGCATTTGTGCGTTAATCTCGTCCAAACGTACGTGTTTGCACGTTATAAACTGCAGGACGACTCGTCCAAAAACCTGGACTGCAGTAACTGATAAGGACACGCGAGACATTTTGTACTAGAGAACTTCGTCTGTGCTGGCCGAATTTCGACAATCCACCCATAATTGTACTGAGTTTTTTATGGTGAAGCAGTGCGAGCTACTTTCTTGCTGTAGCCCACAAAAATAGTTGGCATTGATAACATGTGAGAAACCTGGGACTCATTTGGGCGAGTGTAGTCCACTAGGCGCTTCTAACGCATCACTACAACTACATCTTTAAGATTGCTCGGTGATCAATGGTAACGCGGGATATGGTTTATCACATTTATTTTGTGCAGTCGTATTAAGCATGTTGTTCCCTGAGCAATTTGAATGAGGACCAAGCCAGACGCGTTCGTCCATGCCACGCCCACTTTCAGGCGGTAAATCGTTTGAAAGTTGTAAGCTGTGATGGTATTCTATGGAAACAGTTCCCTTACGGTGCAGAAGTGCTAACTTCGTGACATAGTGCGATCTTATCGATTCTTCACTACGAAACTTGTATTTACAGTTGAGATTGTTTGCTCAAATCAATACCAACTGTCGCACCAACACTAACGCTTTCCTCTTCCTCATCTGTTATCGGTTTCTGTTCTCCTCCACTTTAGCATTCGTATTCACATTCCACACTTCGCCTTTGTTTTTGCAGAAATGTAAAGAGATTTATGTAATAAGTGCTATACTGACGTACAGATTTTGACGCTGGATTGATGAAGCCTGAATTCTTCTTTGTTGCATCGCTCCATCTGAATCAAGATTAAAATTTTCCGTTCCTAGTTATCGTCTGTCATGCCATTTCCAACGAAGTGCAAGGTTGAAGATGATCCGGAAGAAGTCGCCGAGAGAGAACTGGTGAAAATGAATGAGGCTCTCGGCATAACTGTTAGTCGTGGAACAGCGAGAAGTTCTGTTCAAGCTGCGCCACAGCTTTGCCGTTAGTTCAAGTTCATACTTAATATTTATAACGTTTTAAAGTTTAGCAACTATGGCATTTAAGCTGTGAAACCAGCAACGAAGCATATCAAAGAGGCTAAAGCTTTGCGTAAGATGAGAAATCGTGGTGTCAGTGGCTCTTCAATCAAAAAGGACGGCGAGTTTTTTTTTTGTGGTATCTTGAGCTCTTTCCACTAAGCTGCAAGAAAACCGCATTAAGGAGGTAGATTTGATTATGGTTTGGACTATGATGACGATTATGACGACCCTGAAGAAGATGTCGAAGAGGACGAGTACGCAGCGAACGAGCTTTACAAACGGTTTGATGTTTCATTCTTTTCAAGCTTTGATTACTTATTTTTCGTATTGACCATTCATCCTTTTCGTTGTTGAGCGGACAGTATCAGATACTGTAAGTTTTGCTATTGATTACGGAAATATTGCGTTTTTTAGTGACTCTTACTCTTCTCATTCAATGGGAATTGGATCAGTGGAGTCCGATATTGAGCGAAGCATTGATTCCTTGAATAGGAAAAGGAGGGAGAGCGAGCAGGTTCTTTTCTTGTTTATGCCGAAGTTCTGTGGACGAGTGTACGGAAAATGGCAGAGTTTTTAGGCTTAATTTTGAGCTGATTCACTGTTTTACCCAACTGCCCGTAGTGAATCTCCCGCAAAACGGAGTCTGCCCAACTGTGTTGTTCCCAAAGATTATAACAGAACTTCTAAGCACAAAAATCAGTGCTGTCACAGCACACCTTGGATTCTTTGGGCGTCCGTGGTACAGTGTGTAATACGCGAGCCCCGGAAAGGGTAATCGTGGTTCGATCTGTCCCGGCGTCCAAGTTTTACGAATATCTCAGCATCATTAAGGTCGTATTTCACATCTTGAAATGTTAAGTTTATTGTTCCTGTTTATATGCCTTTTCTACCACATCATACAGTTCAATACCCACTCTATTTATAAAGGCTGCTCGTGTTTACGACTGCTTGGTTGGTGCACTGTCTTCCGATGACGACGGTATTCGGGACACCAGCGCTGCAGATTTGCTTGTCGAAGAAAAGGATGAGACTCGTCGTGTGCGAATCATTCATGATGCCATCTACTCGATCTGTTCAGTTAGTAAACTGCATAGCAGTACTTTTAGGCTTAATTGGTTCCTAACCGTTCTACGTTTCAGTTAGAGGAGACGGAGGAAATCGTTGCTGATCCCCTCTGTGAATTTCGCTTAGTGTTGATGGTTTCGCGTCTCATTTCTCAGGGCCTGCTAAAGTCCAGCAGCATTTCTTATTATTTGGAGAAGTCTGTTTCTTCTTCCTTAAGATACTTTTCAGTATTGGCATAGTTAATGTGTTCTAATTTCGGTTAATTCAGTGCTTTGGAGACGAATCACTCCATTCGCCTCCTTAATGCTGCAAACAACATCGGAGAGGGCACAGTGGACAAGTCAGGTCTGTCAGACACAACTTAGCTTCCCTTCGTGTAAAAGTAATATTTTACTTCTCTGTAGAACAAATGCGTGTCGTTGAAAAGCTCGCCAAACAATTAACTGAAGAGTTCGGTACAGAGGTTGTTGCTGGTGATCTCAGTAGGGCGGAGACTGTTCCATTTCATTCTCACTTCATTCACCAGGTAAGCTATCAGTTTACTATTACAATTTTAACTTTTTATTCACTGCGTATTACAATTTTTCACGGCAGAGTATTATGTATGATACAACCACAATGGTGATATTTGCAAAACTCCAGACTACAGGTGTCTGTGGTGGGAATGAAGCGCGCTATTACCCTTTCTAGGGGTTGACATGTTCATCACCACACCATGCAGATTCTTCGTTCCGCCTGTCTCTCAGCTAGTTTTCCATCGATCAGTGTTATCACCAATCACCCTTCAACGGTATTGGTCTGGGTGGCCCAAATCAGCAGTTAATCTGCGGCTGTAGTCGAAATCACAATGTCGTTCTTTTTGTTTACTGCTTATTACAATTTTTCATGGCCTCATTTCTTCTCATTTCTCATTTCATTCACCAAGTATGCTTTCAACTTCCTATTAGTTTGTATTATGTGCTTATGTTAATTGTAGTGTCTTGAGTACACTCATGCGCGAGATTTTATGTTTTAATCTTTATTACCTCTTCTTTAAAGTCGCATAGCTCACCATGCTCAGAAGTGCATATCGTATTATTCGTTATGATGTAGACTATGGTGTTTTTCTTAATGACTTTCTCTTCCTCTTCAGCAGGATTATCGATCGATTTCCTTTATAGCAGTTTTCGTTTACTAATTTCAGCTTTGTCTGGCGACAATCAATTCAATGAATATGAATGCCATTTGTCATACTACATGTGCCATAGCGGATATGCTGAAGAACGACGTAAGGAAGCGTTTCGGTGAATTTCTTCATTCATGAGTGGTGATATATTTCAGACATTGGACAAAACTTCAGTGAATATTGGCTTTCTTAGACTTTACAAAGAGATAATGGACGAGGAGGTATATCTCTTTGCTTTTGGTATTCTACATTTTGCTTTGATTTCTAGGTTATTTATTGTGGTTTGAGGTGAACGACCCTGTGAGAACGTCTCTGGCTGCGTTGCTTACAAAGTACGCTGTCGCTGATTTCCATATTATCGACAGATTTGTGTTCCACAGGTGCCCTACGTAAGTATACACAGAGTCGTGTGAACATGCACGAAAATTCTTACTAATTTTTCAAACCTCCTAACGGTTTACCACCACATCGTGACTGAGAGGTTGTTCCTACGTGTCAAGCTGCGATGTATAGGTGGGGGGGGATTCATCCTCCCAGCAGAATCTCCGACGCTGAGGAGTCTGGCGTTTCAGTTGGGAAACCCAGCCAAAATAAAGTACTACCTGGATCCACCACCGTCCTGGTATTAAACTAGTTGCATGTTAGCAAATCTTCTGATCCATAAGAGCGGCGACTGCCTGTGGTGGTGAAGACCTGGAGCAGAATTTGGCCTTACTGAACTCAGGACTCCAGAGAACCACAAAACAATGGAAGTTATGCTAGAGCCCGCGCAACCGGTGAGGACAAGCTATACAAGTTTCCAAGTAAGTAATTTTCGAAGGCCAACTCCAAATTTCGTTTAGGTTCTCTTCCTTTTTGTGTAATAGTTTGCCTCCACCGCGATCGGTGTTACGAAAAGAACTCCTGCAAAGTTTTCTAGAAGAGATAGTTTTCATTTTTTTGTGACTTCGGATATTATCAGTGTGATACACACACTGGAATAATATCTGATGAAGTGTGTATAGCATATTATCGGTGCTGAGCTATTTCCAAGCATAACCTTGTGCTACGTTTTGCGTCTAAAATATCTTTTACGTTTATCAACTTGTGATCTATTCTAACAAAAATTTTGACAAAAACTTAATATGCTGTCATGGTGTTTATGTAGGATCAGTAATTTCTAAAACTGATACAATGGAAATTTTAACACCTTTAGTTAAAAGCACACCAATTGTTCTCTTTGGCTTGAGAAAAGCCGTCAAATACATAGGAAAAGGCGTCTGTTTGTTTATGATTTTTGCTCTTTTGTTCGTTTTAGCGCCGTCTTAGTCTGTTACGGGAGTTGGATTTGTTGTGCAGAATTCGTTTCATATAAGGACATCCATAGGTGGAATAAATTTTGCTGTTAAACTAGAATGTGTTGTTACCGTAAGTTGAAAGCATTCGAGGCTTTGTGCCTAGTATTGATAAAATCCTACACAGTGAAGCCAAATTTAGCCCGATTTTAAGTTAGATGGCAAGTAAGTGGACTTCTCTTTTTGTGTTTGACTCGTTTCGCCGAATTAAGAGCGATTTCACTGTTTGACTTTCCAACAAACCTATTCTAAGCCATTCAAAGCGAATAATTCGTATAGTAATATTATTGGTTTTCTATGCTTATTCGTTTTAATACCTCGTGGAAATATTTAATTTGTCGAGTTACTCTTCTCTGATTGAAGTAGAAGTCCAACTGTTCACATTTTTATGGAATAGAGCAAAGCCAATCTTGACTTTTAAATGCTCAATGAATATGGCTGCATATAGCGAGTTCTCAAGATGCGAATCGTCACTTGAATGCAGGAATAACGTCTGTATCTATACGTTCTTATTGTCTACCTAAAGCTAAGAGATAAAGATCTTAGCGTTGATCAATCCTCGAAGGATGCGTCATGCATTCCACTTCACTAAGCATCGTTTCGAAGTGATTGGATGCATATCTAGCCCTTATTGTGACTCACGGAGGCCTACCGATGGATCGAGCCAATGCTCCTATCCTCCTAGAGAAGTCTGCTACCAATTTGTTGACCCCGGAAAATGGAAGTCTTGGTGGGTCAGGTGCGCAGGAATCGACCCCATGTATATTGCAGAGCGGTTCCGACCACTGCTCCACATGTGCCGTGTTGTCTACCTAAGCTTTTATTAATCCGTACATCTTAGTTTTGATTTCAAAATCCAGTTTCGCTTTCACTATTTATGTTTACTTTTAGTGTCAAAGTATAACAGCTTCCAATAGTTCTTTTTTGACAGTGTTATACTATTTTCCTCCGTCATGTTTACAGAAATATTGTTCAGGCCTCGTCGTTTCTTAAAAGCAGATCCTGCGGGAGTAGTATCAGTTGTGGAGAAATGTGGTGAGCAGTGCACAGAACTGAATTACTTTAGCACAGAGTCTTAGCTCATCCACGTGGCCTTGTTCGATCTTCGTGCATTCCTGTATAAAGTAATGAGTTTTGTAATATATTTTTTCTTGTTTCTGAACAAATTGACGTGATATGGTTGTGACGGTTTAACGATACGAGTAGTTATGTGAAGTTGTTTGTTTTCTTTATGAAATATTAAACGGTGGAAAGTGTCTGATTCTTGTTGATGTGTGAATATTCTGTTCTTACAATAAGAGCAATAGCTGCTTTACTACCATCATATCCTTATTTACTTGCAAAGATGTAGCATATTATTCTCATTGCACGTATGAGTTAGTTGGTAAGAAACCAGTTTTTTTTCTTTATTTCATTATGTAAAGAAGTACTGGTGGTCGTATTGAGGATGCTATTTGACTGTATGAAATATTTATGCAGTTTGGTACTTTTGTGATTATCATTCCCAGTTTAGAACATACTAAATTTCGCATTTTCTTTGGAAAGTATTTCTCGATTTCTCCCGTACCCCTGGTCCACCAAGCCTTTCATCCCTCTGGGCCCGGCAAATTGGTACCAGACTTGTTTGGGAGGATGGAAGCGCTAGCGCAATATATCGGTAGGCCACCGGGAGTCATTGTGAAGACCAGACATTGAATCACCTCCAAGCGATGCATAATGAAGTCGAATGCATGGCGCATCGTTTAGGGATTGATCGACGTCGTGAGCTCTATCTTTTATATGAGAAGTTTTCCAGACTGACGATCACTTGGTGTTGTACACCTGCTGCGTAGAGTGACGTCTAGTTTTTCACCATAGTCGCTCCGAATTGGGACCAATAGGTGCCGGTCAAGAAGGTCCCATACTAAATGAGTTGGGTAGTTTTGTTGTGTTTCTCTCTCTAGTATCCGGTTTATCTATGTTTTATTAGTCATTTTATGTGTTCCTTTTCATGTTTTCGAACATTTTCGACTTTAAACCGAACCCACATATCGTCCACCAACCTAGAAAATTCTGTAACTTCTTTATGGTTCGTTTCGAAACGTATATGGTGTAGGGTCTCTTTTCCATCATATTCTCTCGTTTCATACACTTACAATAGTTTACGATAACTGATGGATATAAAATAACATTCACTTTCTTGTTGAAAAGTGATCTTTTCATGCTTAACACGGGTGGTCCTAGTTCTTCGGCAGCAAAGGTGTGTGAAAACTTGACGGAAGATTCATAGAAATGTTGTTAGTTTATCGTTCCATGGATATATATCGCCCATATCCCCTGTCGTCCGGTTGATCGTCGAGTGACTCATGCAGGCACTAGCAATCCTTCCATTTCTCACTGTTGCGTACAAAAGTAACCCAGTAGCCCTCTGGGTTCTCCTCGCTATAGGAACTCGTTGAGCATCATATAATTCTTCTAGAGTTTTAAGGAAGAGCTCTGACCATTGGTGCATATGACATCCCGAAGAATCCAGTCACTAACGACAGTTTGTTCATCGGTTGATTTTCGTCCACATTACGTATCCAACCCACCAATCGTTTTTCTGAGGTTTAGTCGAAGACGGTTTTTTCACAGGCGTTATTAAAATCAGTAAGCATTCGTTCTGCCTGGCTAGTTCTTAGTGTTATAAGGACGGCATCATCAGCAGCATGAACAGGGTATTATTGCCAACCACCGATTTTCACTCCCATGCCAGCCCATTCCGATTCTCGAACTTTGTCGAGAGTGGGAGTAAATAATTTTGCCGAGATGGTACTGCTTTACTTAGCCTCTTTCTTGACGTCTATGTTGTCGTTACAGACTGGTGATGTTTTGGTGGTTGTGAAGTTCTTATATAACTCTCCAATAATCATTATATATATATACCGATATTATATTATATTTATACAACTAATTTAAAAGGTTCCCTTAAATCGATGAAAGTGAGGTAGAGCGGTCTCTTGTTCTCTCGCGATGCTTCAACGATATCTTATCATCCTGTGGATGTGATCCATCGCACCGAAGCCTTTTCGAAACCCTGTTTGCTCAAATGCGTGTCCTTCGTCCACTGTTCTGTCAATCCTATTTGAGATGACGCGAGTGAAGAGTTTATAGATGACAGATAGCAAGCAAACTGAACGAGAGCTGCCGATATCGGGAAGGTTACCCTTCTCGAACAGTAGGACGAACTTGCTAGTCTTCCATTGAGTAGGAACGTTGCATTCTAACAGGTAACGTGTGAGGACCCGAGCCACTGTGTTTACGAGGACTGGCGGAAAGTTCTTCAGGTTTTCTGATTTTATCCTGTCCGGATCTGATGCTGTTCGATTTTTCACCGACGAAATGGCGTATGAGATTTCGGAAGAGAGAACCGGCGGTGCAACATATCCTTCCTCTTTTATTTCATATGAGGCAAGAGTACGTGGCTATTGAAGAGATTCGAATAGTAATCGTGAATGATTTTCTTCATTGCCTTTCTGGACGCTGTAACTGTTCCGTGTGGGCGTCGGAGTGCAATCATCTTGATTTGGCGCGTACCTTCTGTGTCTATTGGGACATTTGGATGCGTGTGTGTATTTTTTCTCGTTTATACGAAGTCTATTCGACGATTCAGTTCGGGTAAAAGCCTGCAATCAAGTGACTGGGAAGTATATGGCAGGTAGTCAGGAATCTCCTCCAAGAAATAAGCTCTTCGCCCACTACCAAAGCTGCCCGTAAGCACACCTAACCCCACATTCAGGAAGCTAAACGTGGGTATCAAACAGTAAATAAAATAAAATAGGTGGGCTTCATTCCCTGTTTATTTATATAGGTATATATATATATATATATATATATATATATATATATATATAAGGACAAAGGATAAAGCCTTCGGCATTGATTAATCCCTGAGGAACGCACCAAGCATTCGCCTTCATCGAGCATCGTCGGGGGTGATTCAATGCATATCTGACTTTTACAATGTCTCGCAGTGGCCTTCCTCCCAGACAAATCTGGTACCAATTTGTCGACCCCGAAGATCTGGAAGGTGTGGGCCACGGGTGCGGGGATAGATCCCATGTGTGTTGCAGGGCGCCTCCGACTGCTGCACCACACGCGCCCGTCTTTACATTCATACATACGTACATACTAATTCCATGCGTTCACTATAAGGTGAGGTCTGTTTGGTTAATGCTGGAATAATGTTAAGACTCGAGCGCATACGGAGTAATAGCGTATGCATATTGTTTTTATACCGATGATTGGTATACGGATGCTTGCTTTCATGGGAACTGCTTTGTGGTATTTAGAATGTTCAACACAATTTCATCTTCAACGACAATTATATATATGTAAAGGACAAAGCATTCGGCGTTGATCAATCCCTGAGAGATGCGCCATGCATTCGACTTCATTGAGCATCGTTGGAGGTGATTCATTGCATATCCGACCTCTACAATGATTCGCGGTGGCCTAACGATGTATCCAGCCAGTGGTGTTATCCCCCAAGACAAGTCTGGTACATATTTCCCGAACTCGGAAGGGAGGAAGGCTTCATGGGCCATGGGTGAGGGATCGACCGCACATATGTTTTGCAGGGCACCTCTAACTACTGCGTTGCAGGCACTTCTAAGTATAAGAGGTGTTGATAATTAGTTTCTGCCATCTGTAGGCCTATTAACGCAAAACTTCCAACCAGAAACTTTGAGTGTCTGCAGTGTGGAACGTTGTCTAGTTACATACCAGCTACGGATTTGCTCAAGTCGTCCTCCATTTACTATCAACACGTAACGATCGATGTTTTTCGACAGCTAAAGCACTTGAGAACATAACAGAGTTACAAAAGGAAATGTGCTTTATCGATGTTAAAGTATAAATGTAACTATTTATGGGATTTTCATACAGCCAGCCATTCAACTACGGTATTTCCAGCATTCTGCAGTGTTATTTTTTATTTGCCCATCCATTCCATATATAGCCATGACCAGTCGTAACGATCACCAGTATCACCTATCGTCTCGCGTTAATCGTCGAGTGACTCGACGGTGGCCAGTAAATCTTCCATTTTTCCCTGTCGTGTGCAAGAGTAACTCAGTGGGTTCTGCTCGCTCTAGGAACACGTTGAGCATCTTACCTTTCTTCTAGGATTTTCGTGAATAACTCTGAGTATTGGCACGACCGACTTTCTATTAACCTCGGCATTGATCAAGTGATTTTCTTCGTATTCTTGTTGAGCAAACGCGAGGTGTTACTATTCTTTGTTCACGATTAAGCTAACGTTTCGGCGGATTTCGCCTTCTTCAGAGCCGCTTTCTATGAGGTTTCCACTAAGTATGTCACGTAGAGACTCATTATCTTCCACTTGATACTTTATACTTCCACGTGATTTCTGTGCGGTTGGTCTCTATGTGACATACTTAGTGGAAACCTCATAGAAAGCGGCAGTGAAGAAGGCAAAATCCGCCGAAACGTCAGCTTAATCGTGAACAAAGAATAGCAACACCTCGCGTTTGCTCAACAAAAATACGAAGAAAATCACTCTGAGTATTGGATCAGTGGTCTACTCGCACTACGTTTTAACATCTCAAGGAATCCAGTCATTAACGGCTCTTGTCCATCGGTTGTCATTCTTACTCATGACACGTCCGGCCCACGTTATCTTCGACAGTTTGGCGTACAGAACGGTACCTTTGATTTTTGATCGTCTATACAGGTGGGAGCTTCGAATCACTTCCCTCACTTGTGTAATATAAGATGCTCTTAGCATCGTCCCTTCGACTGCGCGTTCAATAAAGCTGTGTGACCTGTCATCCTGGTCACGCCCGACCAGGTTTTTAACGCATATGTTAAGGCAGGAAGAGTCGTCTAGTCGAAATAGTGGGGTCGGAGTGAGGTGTTCTTTTCCTTTCACCGTATCCTCGATGCTCTCGAAGGCTCTCCAAGCCGCTTGTTTCTTCATGCTCAATTCATGCGCTAAATCGTTCATCATGTTGATTTTCCCACCTAGACAGATATAACTGGAGCATTCGGAGATATTCGTTCTGTTGAGCGTGAATGAGGCATGCGAAACCAATCCGTT